CGGCGAAGAGATCGCATGTTCTACCAATTGTAGTGACAACTGATTCTAAACCCCAACAGCCTGAAGTACTATCTGTTCCTGCTAAAAAAATTACAACTCGTGTCAACCAAGAGAAACTCTCAGAAGAAAAAGTAACTTTGCAGGAACATAGTCCCGTGAAAGTTACGAAAGAAATAAAAGCGGATGTTGTAATTATGCCTGAAATGAGTGTTACCACAGTCGAAGATGCTCCAAAAGATGTTGCTGATAAAAATACAGTTTCCCGAGATATTCTGAATGATACAACAAAAATTTATGTCGCTTGCCCGCAGAAAAAAGTAGAAGAAAAATTACAAAGACTTATTCTTTGTAAATGCAGTCTACCTTCTGATTCGAATGGTTGTTTGTGCTCGATTGCCAAGTATATGAAAGACCGTGTGCCTTGTTGTCTGCAGAAGAAATCTTACTTTCCAATTCGAATAATTATTTATATTCCATTGTTAAATGCACAAAGTGCAATAATATTATTGATAATTGTCCTTGCAAAGATAATAGATTTGAACAAAACAAAATTTACTGTGCATATTGTCGTTTATCAACTATGCAATGTAGCTGTACATTAAATCTAAAAAATTGCTTGAAGACTGATAAACCAAAATTTCATGGTACATCATCTTCAAAGATCAGCTCCCAAATCTGCACAAATTATTGTATAAAAAAGCGGAAAGAACGCAAGTGCAGAAAGACCGCGGTCTGTTGCCATTCTCACGAAGAATGTAAATGTAAATGGTGTGCAACGCGCGGTGATTTTTCAAGAATTATTGATAAATGCAAGTAAGAGATATAATAAAATGGTATATATTATTTTAGATAAATACGTTTATACATTAATTAGTGAATATTTATTAATTAGATATTTCGATATAGTTTTTAATTATAATTCCGAGACAAAAAAACAATACTCAGATATACATATTTTTATAAATCTTTCGGTCACGATTTCCTGAAATATTTGACAGGTGTGGGTCACAAGAAAGGTGCAGTAACTGCGGTAAACTAAGAAATCAATGTTACTGTAATACATTGACTTTAGTAAAGTGCCATAAGAACAAGAAAACCGGCAACCACAAGAGGACAATGATTTGTCTATACTGTGATAACCCTCGAGACAAATGCACATGCAGAGCACCAATCGGAAAGTGCTTGTATTGCGGATTGCCATCAGATGTTTGCAACTGTCAAGGTGACAAGGGTCACGTTCGTGATTCTGAACGGATTGCTAAAAGATCGAATGAGAATCGAACGATTTGCGTCACCAGTTGGAAACCGAAGAGGGAAATCAGACAATATTTCGAAAGAAACTATAAAGATTTCGAGCCGTATTCCACTAAAGAATGTCAGTGCTGCAAAAAATCAAAACGACAACGTCCTGAGGAACTACCTTATCAACGACTAAATGCTTTCTCAGAAGTGATAAATGAACTGCAACAGAAGATGAGCGAATCTGTATGCTGCGCACGATGCTGGAGAAATCCTTGTTGTTGTGGATTACCGGTCGATCAAGATAAGAGAAAGGAAGAAAGGAAAGCCAAAAATCATCTCAAGTATATAAAAGAATCTTTTTTTGACAAGATTTCTTTTTCATTTATTTACATAATACTAAAAATAAACTTTTATATGGAGTCTTGTATAAGTTTCATGCTACATGAGTACTCAGACGGTATCCATCATAGAATTTCATGCCGTTAGATTTTAAATGGTTCTTCATTATTTCTTATCCTTCAAGATTGTCTTCAAATTATTATTTTAATAATTAGACTTAGCAGTAGTTTGACTAACGGTCAACGTTCTAAATAATTCCCCTATATTCTCTTTCTTCTACTGAGTGGGTCAAAAGTATCGAATCGATAAAATATCTAAAAATAATTTAATGCTTACGAACTTAAACTTCTTAATATTAATTATTATAAATAAAGTAAATCAATGATTTTTTAATGTAAAATGATTATTTAAAATTAAAATTTTCCAAATAATGCATATTCAGAGCTATCTGATGATATTTAAGTGAAAACCATCAAAATTTTAAGTAGTACGTTTAAGTATATACTTGAATTAACATAAAAGTGATATATCTTGATTTAAGCAAGTTATTCTATTATAGTATAAACATCTTAACAAGTAGCAAATAATTGTTTAAAACTTTTCTGCAGTTAACTTATTTATTATATTAAACTTTTGTGCTAAATTATTCTTGTATCTACCATTGCTTAGTCACACCAAAATAGAAAAGTCATCTGAAAGCAAGTCATCAAATAATTACCAGAATCGAAATTCCAGAAACGAGCGTAAAAGCACTGAAAAATTGATATCATTTCGACATATTGGTTGCGTTTGTAAATTAACACCGTGCAGATACAAGAAAGACAAATCCAATTGTAAGAGACCGCTGGCAAAATGTTATTACTGCAAGAGTTTGCCTTGCACGTAAGTAAAACAAATTACATTTAGGATTTTAATTGCAAACTTTTTTTTACATGGCATTGTCAGTATCTAATTTATATCGGCACCGTTTGAACGCTAGAGATTTTGTAAATAAGCGAATGTTACTCTTACGCTTTGTTTCATCAGGGCCTTTATTCTTGAAAAGAAACGTAGAAAAATAGGGAAATATGTTACACTTATTGTCAGTATTTTACTAATATTTTTCGTATACCTACGTATTTTTCTTTTTAAGAATAGCCTAGGCCTAAGGCCCGTATATGTATGACCCTTCTTATTGTTGCTTTCTTTATTGTATTCTTTGTTGCAGTTGCATTACTGTAAAATAATTAAAGCCATGCAGGTACTCATTCGATGATTCACCGCAATGAAAGCAAAGACGAAAAGAATTTTACTAATTCAAGAAATAGATACAGGAAAATAAATGACGTTTAATTATATAGTACTTGTAATCGTTGGTGAACCAAATAACAAGTAAATATAACAGCGGTGTATAGTTGCATAAAATTCACGTATTTAAAAGACAAAAGAATAATAAAAATATTTTAGTTAATATTTTTATGTCAATAATATATATTACTTAGGATATTCTAGTTTTATCTTCATTAATTATTCTCGATTTAATTTTTATATTTTATTAAATATTTTATTAAATATTTTATTATTATAAATATTTTACGAAATAAATAACATGTCATAAATAAATTATTCATGCTCGATTTTACAACTAATAAAACGGAAAATTTGCAAATATTATTCGCGACTTTCGTTAAAAATATCTTTTTTATTAATTTTATAGCATTAACAATTCTGGACTAACAAATCCTGGATTAACTCATGAATATAATTTCTGGCGTATGTATGGCAAATATTTTTTTTATGTGCTCCAAATAACAAAGCTAATCTGTGGCATACAAAATTATTTTTATGATTTAAACGAATTATATGCACAATATTTCAACGAATAAATTGATCATAATTATACGTACATAATTATAAATACAGTTTATATTTATGTTGCTAAAATAATTAGGATATTTTTATGATTTCTAATTTCATAATGTTTTTGAATAATACAGATTGTTAACTAAGACTAGTAATATTTCATAAGAAAATCATAAGAGAGATAAGAGAACTCAGCTCTCTATATGTGTGTGTGTGTGTGTGTGTGTGTGTGTGTGCGCGCGCGCGCGCGCGTGCGTGCATGCGTGCGTGCGTGCGTGCGTGGGTGGTCTGTGTGTGTGTGTGTGTATACATATATCTTGTACACATACTTTGTATATTGAAAAGAATGTAAATAGCCTCGAAACTCAAGAAAACAAATTAGCGCCATCTTAATAATTATCATATGACGCGATAACAATTGATAAATACCGAAATTTGAGTAATAACGTATTTCACATATTTTTCTGATATTTTATAACTCGAGTCATCTAAAATATTCGATAAATATATATACGTATTTATTATACTTCTTTTTATATACTTATTTATAATATCTAATTTCTTTTAGATTGTTTATAATAATATTATTATTCACATAATATCTTGAATTATTCTTAGCCTTATATTATATTATTTAATTTATATAATACTTCTCTTTATTTTTTTTTTTTTTAAGACATACAGGATGTCCCGAAATTCGAGAGTAATATTATCGCAGCGTGAAACTTGGTGAAAAATTAAGTAATAAAAATAAAAAAACCACTTTTTTCGTAAAATAGTCTTTTAAATATAATTGTTTAAAATTTTACTAATCATAAATGTTATTTAAAAAGTTATCTATTTATATCTAATATCACTGCATGCACTTTACACGGACAGATGACTTTTTGATCATTATGATTAGTCAAATTTTAAACTTAAAAAACTACTTTACGGAAAAAATGATTTTATTACTTAATTTTTTACGAAGTTTTATATTACAATAATATTATACTTTCGATACATTCTGTATATCTATAATTTTTAATTATGAACAATAAACAAATTTTGCTAACTTAAAATTTATAATATCTATATATTATTGATTTACATAAATAAAGCTATGGTTCTTTCATATAATAATACAAAAAATGTTGGAAAATGTAATAAAAACATAAATAATAGTTTTGAAATATTTTATATTGTTTTAAAATGAAAAGTGTATATATGTATAATATAGATATTATTTTTTTCTTTTCTTTCCCCATAATGGATTTCCTGCCTATTAAGATAAGTCGCAATACTATGAATATATACATAATATAGACATATGAACAAAAAATAGACAAATCAGATATCAAAATATAATAGCTCTCTTTATATATAGAATGTTCCTTAAATTGGTTGTTACGATTTTTGAGATATTTTCAATGAGTTGACGAAAATATAAAATATTTCTAAGAAAAATTTATTGGCCTGTAAATTAATAGCCTGTAGAAGAAAGAAGTTTACAAAATGTTGTTAATCAGACGATCAGCTCCAGGCCCCCCTACTCCAGTAGTGGGCACCTTATACCGCATATAAGATGCTGTACTCGCGTTGTACTAGACCGGTACCAGCTGTAGACGAGCAAAGACAGTGAGGTAGTACAGATTAGTACGTTCACGCAGTTAGTGTTCAGCGTACAGAGACTAAAGATCGCATAAATCTCTTGTTTTCCCTTCGCTTTCGAAATCGCACTGCATTTTACGAGTCAGAGTCAGTTGACGGAGAACGAGTCAAGGCTTCCATTCTAACGTTCACGGTTTTCCGGTGCTGGAGAATTTCTTTGTAGTGCAATCGCCGCGTCCCTTCCTGTGTCTGTGGGAAAGTGGAAAGAAACTTTTGCCGATTGAATAGAATTGCTGAAGTGTCGAGATACAGCGGCTGAAAAATGGAGATCTGTAACCGAGAGGACCGACTATATGGTATGCCATGCGAAAAAGCGTCGCGCCTCGTTGATAACGGGGAGAAACTCCGGCGGGAGAAAGTTTCCACCCTGCGAGAACTTATAGATGCGCTGTATGAGGCCTACAACACGGATAATGTGAATATCGATTACGTTCAGGACCTGATGACGAATTATAAGAGCAATCCCGCGGAGTGGAAGAAATTTGCCAAGTTTGACAGATACAGGTATTTGATGTTTATCTATTTACATACGAATTTTACAAAACAAATATTTTATCTTTTAAGATCGTAATATGATTACACAAAAATAGGAAATAAAAGTCCTGTACGGTTAAATTTGATTTTTAATACTAAATAATTGGGTGCGAACTTATATATTTATATCCAATCCTGCAAATTGCCGTATTTAATTATTAAAATTATTATTAAAATTGTTTATAGGGTTTAAGATGCTTATCAACATCAGATTATTAAGATCTTTTTAAGATATCTATGAGCATTAAGATATTTATGAGCATTAATATTATCAAATTGTTTGTCAATTTAATTTGTGATATTTACTTTAATTCTGTTAGAATTGTGTTTCAAGATTGAAAATTAAATTCGGCTCATAACTTTTAAGATTGAATATGCAGTATTATATAAATTTATAATATGAATTATTTAAGCATTAAAGATCTAGCTTAATCGTTTAGTGTCTTTATTTATTTATTGTGTGTCTTTTAAATTTTTTAGTATGTAAATTAATTTTTTCAATGTAAGATGCAACAGACGTTATATTATTAGGTGTTGGAATTAATTCGTAGCGTTTTACAAGTGATGGGAAGTACTTTCATTAATGTATTTTTTAATGCTCATGTGAAATAAATAACATTCTTTCATTAAAAAACGCTACGAATTAATTCCAACACCTAATATCATTACAACAAGATTGTTATTTTAATTTTATGTATTAAGTGTTGGAATTAATTCGTAGCGTTTTACAAGTGATGGGAAGTACTTTCATTAATGTATTTTTTAATGCTCATGTGAAATAAATAACATTCTTTCATTAAAAACGCTACGAATTAATTCCAACACCTAATATGATTGTCAAACATACATAAATTATGACGATAAAAATAGTTACATCTACATAACAAATAGTTGAAAAACGATAGCAGTAATATAATCATCTGTGATAAATATTGAAAAATATTTCCGGCGCGATAAAAAAATCTCAACAATTAATCGCGGAAATACAAGAAATTAAAAATTCTTGAATAACATTCGCTATGCTATATTATATATTTTATTCCAAAAATAAAATTACATCGCTTTTAATCTGACAATTGGTAAGATTTACATGCCTGATTCACGATTCCACAGAATATATATCTGATGTAATTGCACAACTTGTTAAAACGTGATGAGAATTGTGGTATGCGTGCGGAAATGTTTTCATTAACTATCAGCTAATTGCACATCGATAATTACAGCACTATTACAAATAAAATCACCGCATAACGATGATCAATTAGGGACATTTCCGGAGAAATACGTCGTACTTGATAAAAGATGAGAGCATATATATTTTTGTTATTTAACATATTTGAAGTATGTAAATAGAAGTATGTAATATAAGAACGCAAATAAAAGTATATATATATATATATATATATATATAACAACGCAATACAAAATTGTGAAATGAAATTAATCTGGCGAAGTTCAAAATGGGTTATCGATCGTATGTTCTTCGCTTGTTCTAGCTCTCTCTAATGCTCATACGTCAAAATATGAAAAGAAAAATTTGGTAACCTTGTTTTGTGACCCGTACAACACCACTACCACTTGTAGTAGGAATAGATTGTCATTTAATAATCGTCAGACAAAAAAAAACATCAGATATTAGCAGAATTGTGTCATCGCTTCATTTTTTCCGATCATCAATCTCATGACTACCGTAAATAATAGATAACTAATATACGCAACGAAATATACACAATTTTAAAAAAAGAATCATCGTGTTTACGAAGAGAGTGAGACAAGAATGTAAAAAGAAATGCTGTATTGATGTCAGAAAATATTTGAGGAAACAAAAAACTTTTAAGACAAACGAGATATTTCGTGCCAGATTAAAATTATTTGCATTTAACTAATTAACAATTTTATTAGTTATCTCATAAAGTTAAGAATGCACGAAGTTAAGAATGTACGAATAAATTTCGGATCAAAAGAAAAATTCTATTCTTCGCAGCTTTATTTACCAGGCATACATATTACACATGTATAATTACGATAACTGAATTAGCTTATTTATTACGCGCGATCTGGACATATCTTCATTTTCGTTCGATAAAGGAGACAGAGAGAGAGAGAGAGAGAGAGAGAGAGAGAGAGAGAGAAAATGTTCCAGAATTATTAGACACTACCGACAATGCTATCTCTGTGAACATGTTGCAACGAACTGAACGATGCAACTCGTATTTTCATATTCAGAGCGCAGATAAGCGTTTTACTTAGCACAGAGATTACTGTATGTAATACTCAAACATTTTAAGCATCCGAGAAACACATTTCTATTGATATTCAAGAATTTTTTGTTTTTTCTCAAATGGTTCTTAACTTCTTTTCTTCTTACTTTCGTCATATATTATATTATCGAGTGCTATCGGAAATACGACAACTAGTTTAACATCTTGCTAATTGTCGAAGACATTGCATAGCTCTTGATTGAGCAAGCGACTGTAAAGAGGAACGAAAATAAGTTTACGAGTTCGCGAGATAACGAGCGTGTTGGACGCAGGTGGAATTACTGTATGCAGTAGCTGGAGATCCACGTGACTCGGGAAAGTACGGAAACTACGGGCACGTTTACCGGTTTTGCTGTCAACACAAAGTAGAACGTAATGCTGTGTGGCAGGCAAATATTCCTTCTACTTCGAGATCGTTCTTACGAAAGGTCACTAGAAAGATAAACATTTTGGCGTCATATTTCAATTCAACGAGTTATCATATTGTTCAATGCTTTCAGTGTCAATCGATAGGCGAATGTGCCATGTGATTACAGAAATTGTTGACAATATAAAAAATCGCATCGATAAATTAATGATAAATTTAGTGGTACATCGAGAAGAAATATTTTTCTGTAAAAATGAGAAATAGAATGTTTTTAAAATCTAGAAATTTTTATTTTTGAGACAAATGTAGAATCTATCAATATTTAGATTTTTTTAGATTTTTGCGCGCTTTAGATTTTTTGAACGCTTTTATTCACATGCTTTTATTCGATGAAGAATACTTGTACCTGCGAGGGTACAAAATATTCGTTTATATCACTGTCAAAATCATCCAAATTAATATTAATATTAACTCAGATATAATTAAATTGAGGGATTTGAAGATATCTTGACACTTTGTATGAGATGATATTCTTTAATTAAGACATTTACAAAATTAATAGTTAATATTAATATCGAATAAAATGAAGATAACGTAATTTTCTCTCTTGATTATTTTGAAAAGTATATTTTCCTTATGGATATTAAATCTTGTTATTTAAAGATATTATTTAGTATCGGAAATTAGAACAGTAATAAATAAATATCCAGAGGCGATCGACCGGTGAACGTCATATACACACACACACACACACACACACACACACACACATATATATACATGTATAGTTGGTTATATGTATTGTATATACTTTCCATACATATATTCCCTTTCTCCATGATTGCGTTCTGCGCAATCCAGAGGACATTGGTATCTGTACATCGCATGACATTCGTAAAAAAAAAAAATTCGAAACGTATGCTGTGCGAAACATTGGAACTTTCAAATTATATTCGCTCTGCTGCATCTCACATTTCGCTGCTGGAATCACAGATCACCGATTCGTAAATCGTGCACTCTACATTAATGCTTCTCGTAAATAATGCTTGTTTTTTTTTTGGGACGATGAGGTAATTGTTTTTTTAGGACGATAAGGTAATTGTCAAATGTTACAAAAAGTTGTAACATTTAAAAGTAATTATTTAATAATACTGTATTATCAATTCGGATTAATTTATATTTAAATAATTGATCTTTTCGAGAAAATGGGTTTTCTTTATTTTTATCTGTTAAGATTTTTTAATCGCGTTACAATTTAAATACGTAATCTGAGCTAAAACTATAACATATATGTCAAGTTTTATAATTGATTTAAGTTTTAGCAATATTGTGATATGTATTTTTTAAAGGACTAGTTTATTTTTGAGCTAGTCTATTTCTTGCAAAATCTATACCGATTTAAAAGCTAATTTTGTACTAATTCTTTTTAAAAGAAATACAGATTGGAATTAATTAAATCGATAAATAATAATAATTAATTAAGATAGATCAATAGCTATTTTGTTGACCGAGTCGAACGTGTGTGTGTGTGTGTGTGTGTGTGTGTGTGTGTGTGTGTGTGTGTGTGTGTGGATATACACACTATGTGACTAAAATCTGCACACTTAATAATCATTTAAAGTGTATGCGCATTTGAAATGTGCACCAAGATTTTCGAAAGGTACCAATCGATAGCAACGGAATAAGAAAATTCTGACCAGTCGAACAACATTTTCAAAGGAAAAATATTAAATTGTAATGCTCGACGTTTTGTGTGCAGATATACCAGAAACTTAGTTGACGAAGGGAATGGCAGGTTCAATCTTATGGTATTGTGTTGGGGAGAAGGTCATGGATCAGCCATACACGATCATGCCAACTCGCATTGTGTAATGAAAATGCTCCAGGGGAAATTATGCGAGGTACGGAAATTACGGATAATTATTGGTAATCATTTCAGACCACGTATCATACATACATTGTGATGTAAAATTGAGATACCAAAGTGCGTTATTTTTTATTGTTAGACGAGGTACGCGTGGCCCGAAGGATCGGAGATGAAAAATGATGCGGAGCTCAAGGAACTCGAGAAGAACACGCTTGATATAAACGAGATCTGTTATATTAATGGTATGACTTTTTTAAAATTAAATCCTAAACGATAAGTCTTACATATTCAGTTCACAAATGAGGATCAAAAAATAACATTTTAACAACTTATTTTATTATTTAGTCAAGCATCGAGTCTGGTGAAATACAAAAGATATTTGTACAGGGGAGATTTTGATTTTAAAAAAGCCTTATTTGTAGAATTTTAGAAAATAAACATTAATTAACAATTTATTAATAATACGTTCTGTCTTAATATAAATAAAAAAATTTCGCAAAAATTACTGTGTTCATGAAACTAAATTAGAAACTAAGTTTCTCGACTAAATGAATACTTTTTATTCAAATAATACAAATTTTTATTTACGCTTATTATTAAAATAATATATTTTAATTATTACACATCTTTTTAAGAAATAATTTTGAGAATTATACGAGAATTATACTTATCTTCTTTATTTAATAATACTTATCTTATTAATTATACTTATCTTCTATTTTTTATTAATAAATTGCTAATTAATCTTTTCTTTTGAAAAATAAATTATTTTTAAAAGTATGTTCTCTGTATGAATACTTTTTACATTCACTGTATTATGTATTATTTGAAATGGAACAACTTCAATCGAAATTGTTCAATTATTCCCAAGATTTCTACATTGTGTTTTTTCAGTGAAAATAGAATAACTTTGATCAAAATCCATTTCGAACAGTTTTATAATACATGCTTTAATCATTTTTGTAAACGTGAATTCTAAAAACAAAATTACAAGCGCTTTTATTTTATTTATAAAATTATTTATGCGAATAATATAATTCTGTATATGTATATGTACAGAAAATAATCTCGATATTTTTTTCCGTTCGAAAGATTCACTAGGTTTGCACCGCGTCGAAAATCCAAGCGCGGTGAATCCTGCGGTCTCCCTGCATCTGTACTCGCCGCCATTCTCGTCGTGCTCGGTCTTCAACAAGCAAACCGGGCAAAAGTCTACGTGTAAGGTCACATTTTGGTCCAAGTACGGGGAAGGAAGAAACCGGGTAAAAAAACTATTTGCATATCTCTCAAAAGTTTTATCTTACCGCGCAATTCTCGATCTACCTCTCCGCCAAGACGCATATCAAAGAATCTTGCAGCATCCCGAAGTTGCATTTACGACGCTGGAAGTCATTACAAAGATTTAAATTCAGTTACGGAGGAACGTAATCGAATTTTCGTCTCTTTACAGAAAAATTCTAGAGTTAGTTCACATCAAACTAGCGGAACGTCTTTATTCATATCTTTCTTCAATTTCTTTTTTCCATTTTCATACAATTAAATTTCGCAAGTTCTAATATGATCGAGTATACCTAATTGATATGAAAAGTCTAACGAGTGAAATACACTGACGAATCCACGATGGAGGCAATTGACTACTTTTTTTTAAAAAATATTTATAGTAAAATCTTTCCTTTTTTTAAAAATATTTATAGTAAAATATTATATATTGTATTTTTAATATTTTTAAAATGCTTAATCACTGCAATTTTGATATTCCAAAAGTATTTTTTAATTTAAGAAAATCCTAGATTTTTAAGGCTTATTGTTTTATTATAGACATCGTATTATGCAAAAGTTTATGTTGCAGCTTTTATTTTTTGTTCGTTTTCCTGGATAAGTATAGAGGTATTATTTTTTTAATTTATGCCAATAATAATTTCAATATAAAGCCTTTTCATATTTGATACATATTTTTAAAAAACTTTTCGCTTGCAAAACGCACAAGTTCAAAAATAAGAACGATAAAGTACGAAAATTGTGGGAAATAATGCAATGTTTTTTTTTTTTATTTGTTCGCATTAAACGCATGGGGTTAAAGAAACTTATTAACAATTCAAAATATATAAATCCGCCAAGTGCCTCAGAAGTTCTTGGATCCGTCAGTGGTAGAGCAAGCGGAAATTTAACAAATGTATAATTTATAGCAAATTCAAGATGCCAGATCTCCCGAGGATAACTAATCTGAGCAAGAAAGCAGAAACCACCAGCGATATGCCAATTAAGCGTATAATCGTATACGGAAAACGATTTGCATTTTCTTGAATTGGACCTAGTTGTACATTGTACGAATAACTAAACGTTAATAACGTGTATTATTACTATTGTCCAATTTTTGTCGTGTAGTCGTATTTAAGTACTTAAATTTACTTATAAGAATCTGTAGATATTTTTATGTAAGAGAATACGCATTTCATATCTATTTTATGATATCTATAAATAAGTTAAATTACTAATCAAATAAAGAATATAAGAAAAAAATATATTTTATTTTATATATTTTATGCATGCTCTTTTTATTAAGCTCTTATCTGTTACTAAAATATTGACATTCATCTGTCAATAATTAATAACTCGATAAATTATAAAAAAATAACATCAATATTGTATAAAGAATTATATTAATATTGTAATTTCCCATTTAGCAATATAAATATACTCTCTCAAGAAGGAAGTCAAAATAATGGCATTGATTGAACATGACAAAAAAAAACGACATAAATTTGATCAATCATCGATTAATAATATTATATTGATATTATTTTGGCTTTCCCCTTGGACTTATATTTATTAATCATCTACCTTAAATATTGAAAGTGTATTGTTAATCACTTATTTTGAAGGTAGTTGACAGTACTTTTTAATCTCAAAATAAGTGATTAATTGGCCAGTACTAGTATTAAATTTCTATAAAGGTAATAAACACATGTTATACATAACAGTTGCAATTATAAATAGAAAATTATAAATTGATGTAATGTAATATTTACTGAGAAGCAAGAGTCTTGTTTATAAAGCAATTTAAATTATATATAAATAATAGAGAATTTTCGAAATTTATGGCTATAATTCGTTAAATGTCGCACGGATATTTTCAAAATTTTCTATAAGAATTGATTTAGCCGACAGTCAAAGTCAATTTTCAACGAGGCTTCGTGTCAAGTTTTCTTAAAAAATCATGTTATATCCGCGATCATTATTACAGAAAATTTCATCTCGATAATGACGAGAGATCAGGCAATACAATTAACAATAGAATAAATAGCGGGATCGATGATAATTGACAAATATAACAACCCTGTGTCGGTAATGCCTGCGCATGCATCACACGATCATGGCCTCCCGGACGCACGTGCAGCGCGTCCGGATGCTGTACAAGACAATTTTGAGGTTACATCGCGGTCTACCGATCGAGGTCCGGCCTTTGGGCGACGGTTACGTCCGCGACGAATTCCGGAAGCATAAGAGATGCATCGAGAGCGAGGCGATCATTTTCCTCCACGAGTGGACTGTAAGTAAATTCGCGTCATTCGTTAACCGCGCGAGCGCGTTATTTGAGGTTATGTTCTCGCGTGCGAGCCCGAGACGGGACGTGGTGCAATCACAGATTTGTCGCGTTGCTTGAAATTCCCAAGATTTTTACACTTAATACGAGATAAATATATATTTTGATGTAGAAGAGAGAGAGAGAGAGAGAGAGAGAGAGAGAGAGAGAGAGAGAGGAAAGCTCTGAATGTCAAAAGTGTAATTAGCAATGCAAATAGATTCTTCCTGCAATGTACTTTGATTCTTCGTAGAATTATGCAGTGTTTCTCGCCGAGCAGCTCGGGTTGAGAGGTCCTCATACAGCAAAACCGCTAGGACGATATCTGAAGGAAGAAGACATCGAGAAGCTGCGAGACGAGCAAGTGTGCCAGCTGTACGAGCTGATGATCGCGGCTACGGGGAAGCCGGAGGACGCCAAGAAAACATAACTATGTGGCTGTGTCTGTGACGTGGCTATAACACACTGACCTGGAGACTCAGCGCACTTGGACTGTCAGAATTGTATTGTGAAATACAAATAAATGCATACAATTTTTCCCGCACAACCCAACTCTGTCAGCGGTGTCGTTCACTTGACGATTGTATTGTGTAATAATTGTTGTTTGTTATTATTAATAGCTGTTATTTAATAATAAATATTATTATTGAGTGCGAGAGACTATCAGAAGTGTTATTGATACGATGATAAATGCAGACAATAAAATTAGGAAATACAATATATAGCAAGCAAGTGAAACTGTAATTTATTGTGTTGATTTGATGGCCAACCTGAGTAATAAAAAAGTGACATCAGTGATTCTTACAATTTAAGTATAATATATGACATATAATACATACATAATCATTTATATATCTAATTTTTAAATAAACAATTGCGCAATAACGTCGAAATAAATTTCGTTATCGCGGCGTAATCACTTTAATAATCTAGTAGCGCTCGGAAAGATTATAGATAAATTTTCACTTGATCAGTAGATTTTTTATTCACCGTTTTTTTTCACGTGTGCAAGAGAAATCGTGGAAAGATGAAGGCCTGGTCTGACGCAGCGAGTTTGATATTAGCAGCACGTCATGAGCAGACATATAGTCGCGCAGTGTCGCCTGCAATTGTAAGTACATATACAATACAATAACGACGTGCATGCACATTCTGGTCGCGTAACCAAGACTCGATCGACACTTTCTCGCTCCATCTTGCAACATGGCTGTAGCATGGAAAGATTTCAATAGATTTCGATTGACGATATATACGTTTTTATGTTGAACTATGTTTATGATTATATTTAAACAATAATGTATATACGTGACTCGTTCTTATATATCGATGAACACACCAGGTAGCAAGCCTTTCCTGTCAAAATCATACAAATCTGCATACGATGCTCGCAACTTGCTGTAGATTTATCTTCAATGACTTCGAATATACCTGTAGCAACATGCAGGCAACAGTGTATTATGTATTGTTAGCAGTTTAACGGCAAGATAGCTGCATCAACCTTGCATTGTTCGGTAATATCCCTTACAGCATAAAAGCTTGCAGTGCTATTTACAATGTTGCTGCAATACTGCTGAAACGTTGCAATATTGCTGCGAGATTGCTGAAATGATCTGTGCTATATGGGTATAGCTGCGTTCAACAGAGAAAACTAATCAGTTAGTGCTGATTCTTTAATACGATTGGATCCTATACTTAGGTTTAGCGAAGAACTAAAGACAAGGATCAATTATATTAAAGAATCACTAAGCGCTAACTGATTTTCTCTGAATGCAGTCATTGTATGATGCATATTATTATACAGGCAACGTACATGACGGCAATAATACGAATTTTGATGATGACGATTTTAAAGTTGTTGGTAAATTGCTGGCAAGTTGCTATTCAAAGTTGTCATATCGTGAAGACGTCAAGTTACTAAGAAATGGACTCAGTTTCTATAATTCTGGTAGCAACATACTTAGCAATGCATACTGAGCAAGTAACATGCCAGCAATAAGACTGACACATTGCTATCTGGAATATGTCAAAAAGCACTCTCATGGGTTTATTGTTTAGCGAATTCAGTCACTTATACTGAATTAATGCATACTAAAAATTACTGAAACTAGTAAGTTGAATGTAAAAACATATAAATATTTTAAAAGATTAAATACCCAATATGGGATGTTTTTTTTCCATTTAGTGACAAGTCGACACAAGCACCATTCTATTTTCCTTGACTTTGAATGCATAACAAAGATAGAAATGTTAATTTGTGTCACCAAATAAAAAGCATCCATTGTCACATTATTGAACAGAATCTACCTATATTATTTTCCATACAGCACATAAATTTGTAGCAACATTATTGTAACGTTTGCAACTGCAATATTATTGAACAATGGAATAGTAGGAATGATTTGTATTGTACAGGTTCATTATCAAAGTTGATTATAATAAGTCTATTTTTTTTAGCCGAACTAGTATGCACTTTTGAAACTTAAAGTGAAATAAACATAATATTTGATATTTAGCGAAAGCGAGAAAGAAAGTTCTAATGTAGTCTAGTGCAGGAATAAAAAACAGACTTTATGGCTGCTTTGCTTTTAGGAGATACAATCGATAAATATTGTTCTATCTTTGTTATTTATTGAATGTAAAAAGAACAGAATATTTGTGTCTTCTGAAAGGGAAGCATAGCCAGCATCTATAGCCAGAATTCATAATCAATGTTAAGATCGTTTTAATTATAGTCTTAAAATGTTATAAGCTAATCACAGAACAATATTAACATTTTAAGACATTATTTAAGACTTTTTTAAAATAAGAACTAAGATTATAATTATCAACCTATATTATGCGACATTTAGATGTTTTATATAAAGTAGGTATCAATAATACTTTAATAGATATTCAATGCGAATGAACTAAATTTGCTATTTTAGATGAGACTACAGGTACAATTTATGATTTCAGCACAATTACAAGCTACTATGCCTGAAGCGTCATCAAAAGTCGAGTTTCATGCCAGGGTTGTACGTCTTCCCGGGCGGCACAATGGACCCAGCTGATGTCAATCTGAAATGGTACGAACATTTCAGTGCTTTCGGTTTGGACAATGATAGGCTTGCATCTCTGGTACCAAAAACTGTGTCGCGGCCGCAAATTTTTCAATCAAAAGAGAACGAGTTGCTCAGAGAAATCTCGCTACGCATTACGGCGATTCGCGAGACCTTCGAAGAAGGCGGGATATTGCTATGCAGACGTAATAAAGAGGACGATTCTCATTCTAATTGGGCCGAGCACGTATCAAGTAAAAAAATTACGTAAGGAATTAATGAATAAATTTACAGCTAATGTAATATTTATCGAATAATTTTCAGTTCCTGAAGGCGAGTTGCAAATGTGGCAGAACAAAGTCCACAATGATGCGACGGAATTTCTCAATCTCTGTCAGAAGTTGGAGTGTTATCCGGACTTGTGGGCGCTGCATGAATGGAGGAATTGGTTGGGACCTACGTACGGGTACAAGAATAAACGCTTCAACACCGCTTTTTACTTAGCTTGCATACCGCATATGCCATACGCTGAATATGCAGCTGTAGAAATGGAGGATCTACAAGTGAGACACTTACACAATAACTCGATAGATAATGCGTATCCTTCCGTAAGCACTAATCACTAAAATTGAATTCAGTGGTTCTCTCCGAAGGAGTTTTGTTCGACAAGTTTCGAATTTCCACCGCCGCAACAGATCGAGATTGCCAAGTTGACCAAAATTGAAAGTATAGATAATCTCTTGAATATCGCCATGGAACGCAATAAAAAAGGCGTGCAAAAATTATATTTACCGGTATGTAAGCTAAACTGTTCCATAGCTAGAATTGTTGAAGTGCTAAGTATTTCGCATGCAGCACAAAAGCTTGCAGCGCAATATTGCTGTTTGCAATGTTGCTATAATATTGCTGATGAAACAATCTGTGCAGAAGCTCTCAGTAACATTGCAGTAAAGTTGCAGTAAATTTTATTTACTCTAAGCTTTTGTATTGCATCCCATTACAACAACATTGCAAACGATGTAACAATGTTGCTGCAAGTTTCTGTGCTGTATGGGATGGATGATCTTCATCACAAATAATTATAAAAAATATGTAATATTTTTTACTGATAAATATATTTTGTAGATAGCGGTGCAATTGAAGGATGGCCTCGTGTTTGTCATACCTGAAGATACGATGTATCCGAAGGAAATTGAGTTGTATGAACAACAAGTAATCGATAAGTCGGATATTACTGTAGATGAATTTGAGAAGTTAACCCTGACAAAAAACAGAATGGCATTTCTCGATACACAAGTTACCGTAATTTTTACCGATAACGGCAAAGATAATCGCATAGTATTTCCAAGACCCGGGTATCATTCAAAATCTAGAAATGTGGAATCTAAAAATAAGCTTTAAGACGAATAATAAACAAATTCGATTTCGGTTTTCAGATAATTTGCTCAAAGAAGATATTTTTAAATACGTTTAAATGTTGAATAAATGTTAAACATTATATGATTTGATAAAGGATTGTCAGTGTCGGCAGAATGTTTCTAAAACAATGATAAAATAATGGCTTTTAAATAAATATATAACATAAATGATCTTTGCTATATTTCTGTAATATAACATTCGTATGCAATAAATTACTAACATTGTGAACACGAACGTGTTAGCATTAAAATTTTATTAAATACGTATGAATTCGTTACCTGATAATTTTTTAAACACATATACAAGAATATACGTGCGGAGCACTCTGCGTGCATAACGCGTTTTAAAGACGGCGATTAAAAATTTGTAAATAAAGATTAAATATTCTTTATACCACTCGTGCGGCTTTTGTACATATTTTTACACAATATTAATTAAAGGTAATATTAGTAAATAAATTCAGAAAGTTGGACAGAGCACAGGTCTTGGACTCTTGGATTGGAACTTGCGCAAAACGCAACACGAGTAGTAATCGGGAAGGGGAAAAATCGTGTAAACGGGGTTTAAGGTGTCGCGCGCACCGGCGCCGGCAGCGCCGCTCTGGGGCAACGCGGCGAGAATTGGCACTGACGTCTCCTCTCTCTTCTGACTCCGGCAAATCGATATTCCGCTCAAATATTGACTCCGCGATTGTGTGTGCGGTGTGCCGTCGTCGCGAGTGCGAGTGAGCGAACGAGCGAGCGAGCGAGGCGAGCGCGCGCGCGAGCGACAGAGTCTGTCCCGTGCAGTCAGTCGGCGATGCTCCTTTAAAAAGCGAAGTGTACTCCGGAGTGCGCGCGCGAGTGAGACATTTAACACCGCCGAGAGAGAGTCAACGAGTGACCGAGAGCGGTCAGCGGAGAGAAGCGCGTTATAAGGACGCGTAGTAAAGGTGCCTCGTAAGCCACGCCGCGCGCGGCCAGGTAGCCACGATCCTGTGACGACAAGAATCGAGAAACGAGAACGAGGAGGAGCGGAGGAAATATGCTGCCGCAGGCGACGACGGGTGCGCTGCTCTGCGGGCTGCTGGCCCTCTACGTGGGGCTCACCCACGCGAGCATCGCCGCGGCCTTCGAGTCGACACCTTCGAGCTCCTTCGATCATGGAGGTGATTCGGTCTTTTCTCTTTTTTCTCCTTCCGACCAGGAGTTTCTATCTGGTCTCACCGCCGCCACCGACCGACGCCGCCGTGCCCTACATTCTTCTCCGTCTGTGATACCCGGTTCGCGAGCGAGTAACGCTGATCACGCGTGTTTCTTCGAATCCTCGACTCTCTCTCTCTCCTCGTTTCCGTCGAAGACGACGTCGCGGTTCCGCGCCGCACCGCGTCGCGACGCGGCGCGGCAGTCCGCAGGTGCGACGAGCAATAACAGGCACCTGCGGTCCGACGTGCGGCTGTTACACGGCGATCTCATTGACCGTGTGCGTGCCTGTGCCTCCGTCTCTCGTTGTATTATACAATACGACGAGTTGAACGTTGCACTGCGCCCACCCGGTCGATATACCGCCGTCTCTGCCACCGCCGCCGCCACCGCCGCCGCCACCGCCGACGCCGCCGCCACCGCCGCGCGAAACGGGCGAGGAAAGAAAGGCGGCTATTAAACTCTAGAACGTTTCTTTCACCTCTACGAGAAAACGGACTCCGAGGAGAAAAGGAAAAAAAATGCGGGGGAGTCCGGTTAAGCGGACCTCCGACCGCGCTCGGACCGACCGCGCTCGATTGTTGATATCTCTCGACGGACTTTACGGGGACTGCGTTCCAATATTCACTGTCAAGTGTCGAAAATCTATAGCGTACGTCACGTGTACTATATAGGCTTTCAGCAGTGACAGTAAATATCGAAACGCAGCTGGAGTCTCCGCGTGACGTAACGGAAAGGTGTCGAGGACGTGTTTAAAAGGAAAGCTAGAAGAGTTTGGAGTAAAATCTTCTTGGTTCTCCGAGGCTGAGATATTCATCGATTCTTATATTTAACTGTCTTATGTTTTACTGTCTTAAGATGTTACGAATCAATTAGATGTATTAGTCGTGTTAGCATGTTAGGATATTACTTAAGATCGTTTCGAAATTAGAATAGTCTATGAATACCTGAGAGATCTTACGAATCTTGGCCGAAATCGATTCGCCGCGACGTTCGTTTTGATTTTTCGCGTCCGAGATAATTGTCGTGCCAGAGCACCGGTTGATTCTGTTCGGAATCGCGCGACGTCGCACCGTGAGAGAAATTCGGAATTTGTTCGACACGTTGCATGTTAACACACTCAAATTCGCGGAACGACAAGAATAATCGCGTTATGCAAAATTTTCGGCGACGCCGGTAAAATCCCATTCGCGTATTCGTATATAAGGGACGCGGCGATAGAATTGTCGAAATACCTCTAATTGTCAATGCGACACGAGGTCGCCTGCCGTTAAAAGAGAAGCATAACGATGCCTCGTCTCTTTTTTGCTCGCGTTAAATACGGTTCTCTTCTCGCGTCGCATCTGACGGAGCGATCGACTGCACTTTTCTTTTTTACATAGTCTTGGACTTGATGTAAACAAAATATGAATGGCAATAAAAGACACGACGACAGACAAATCGATACACTGGAAAAAAATTCTGATTAACCTATAGGGTTCCACAATAAGCTCTACTAATAGACTAGACTCTCGAAATTCAAACAATAAACTTACAAAGGCAAATAAGAATAAACAAGAGTTGCTATATCTGAATCACAAGAAAAGAATACATGTATACTTTATAAAAAAAAGATGATGATTTAGGGACGGTTAGGAGAGGATAATTTTTGTGTTAAATATAGATATTTAATAAAATAACATTTTTAGATATAATTTTTATTGACTATTCTTATTAATGTAATTTTATAAATATACAATTTTAAATTGTTGATAATCAGAAGTTTTACTTCAAAAAAGTGTACATGTACTCTTAAAAGAGTGCAGTGACCTTAGATAAAATTAACAAAAGAACCTAACAAGAATGGCATTTTGACAAACAGAATTCCTGGTTATCAGTAACCAATAATTTTGTTTCGTCTCACTAAAATGCGATTCTTGTAGAGTCCTTTTGTTAGTTTAATCAGAATTTTTTTCAGTGTAATGACACTTGTGTTCATTTCAATATAGATTAACTTTAATCTTGGCTTAACTTACTTTTTATCTTTTTTTTAAATTCTAGGAATTAGAAAAAGAGTATAAGTTAAAGTGAGATTAAAATTAATCTACATTGATAGAAATAAACATTACCAAGACGAAGAATAATGATTTTGATCCGTTTTTTTATTATAATACGTACGATAACAAGTTGTACTTTAAACGTTTTTTTAGAAACTTACGTTTCTCGTGTAAAATTGTTAATAACGTTTTATCTCATTTATATAATGATTTCACTTTATTTAATTGCCGTTCACCGAGAAGAAAATGTGCTAAATTTTAATAGATATTTATTTGAATAATACCAACCAAATATTCACTTAATTGATATTTATTTTGAATAAAAATTTAATAATATAGTTAAATATAATACTCGTAAAAATAATCTAATATAATTAAATTAATGGTTTGTGTTTATCTTTATATTTAGTAAATATAAACGAATGTTATTTATGATATTTTCTTCGATATTTATTGGTTATAAAAAAATTTAATTGTGATAATGAAATATACACTTTTCTAAAACATATAAATTAGATGATTGTTAAAAAGAAAAATTTATTTTGATCATATTTAAGTAAGGATATTTATTTCTGTGAAATAAATATTATATCCCACACAAATAAATTTTAAAGTATCTTTTTCTTATAATACTTGGCGCACTAAATATCGTGCCACGCCGATATTTCGGAAACCTTACGCAACTTTATCCACTTAATTAAATGCACTTTTCGCACGAATAAGGCTCGCACCCCTCAGGCAATATCATCCGGGACTCGATTACGATCGTTCACCGAATGACGGTATTAGTCATGCTTGTCGGAATAACAAATTAGGTGTGAATCACATTCGAGAAAGAGAGAAGCCTGGGATAAAATTAGACTGATTTCGAGCAAAGACTGACGAGAGTAAAATGATGTGACTTTAATATTCTCATCGCGTTTCTCGCCTGAGATAAAAGGGAGAGAAGGATCGTGTTACGGGCGTTAAAAATATTTGGATGCATCCCGCGTGGCGGTGGATCGTTAATTATCTCTAATCACTCACCCCGCTAAGATTAGAAGAGCCGCTTCTGCCATGCGGGGGACGATATCCGACATGATGCTGCGATTCACAATATTTGAAGCTTTCTCCACGACCACTGGTATCGTGGCCCATATCGCGGGATTTGCATGTCGCGATAATTGAATGCGTTCTATCGTCATCGTTCTCGATGCACCGACACGATAATACGTCGCACACATCAAAGTATATTTTGCATACGGATAGTTAATTAACGATCGCGAGCCGATAATTATTGGCCGCTGAAATTAGATGTCCCGCCGATTGCGCCGAATATTTTAACGAGATGTGATCGAGCTTTAGGCATTGCCGCCGGAGACACGATGTTAATTAAGCATTATCACAACACAAGTTACCTGTTCAATTTTCATTTGTTGCAATAACATCTATTGATGCAATAAATAGGTAATTTAAACGAAATAAATATCTTATAGTTTTCTGTAAGAATTTTTATTGTAAACAATTTTAGCTTGTGCAATCACATTTGCTTACCCATAAAAGGATGATTTTACTGATGTATTTAAAAATTTAACCACATACAGAGATCTGAAAATAATTTTATTGAATTAATTAAATAATTACGTGAAATATTTAAGCTGGTTGGTGTTAGAATGTCAAAACTTTTTGGAGAGTTTCTTACATAATTATTTTGAATAGTTTATCAAAATTATTTTCGGATCTATGTTTGCCTAAATTTTTAGATACTTTAGCATAATCGTTCCTTCTGTGTACAACAATTGTATACAACATGAGCTTCTTGCTTGTAGTGTAGATATTCCACGTCATGCTTGGCACACATATTTGCTGTACTACTAAACTTGTGACACATGTATCATTAGCAAAATGTAATATAATTGTATTATCCCGCGGCATGTACTTGATTTTATTTTATAGACGTGTTTTTATAAAAGAAATTGTCTGCTTTGACGCGTTCGACGCCGTTTAACGATAATTGCGAGATAATCGAAAGCATATTATGCATACGTTTCATAATTGACTTCCATTCCGAGAGCGAAAGATACTGCTTATAAATAATTATTTAGCTTGTAAAATGTATATGTAAAATTATATAATCTCGAAAATATGGAAATCTGATGTTAAATGAATCGTCAGTTTAATACAGCGGATTTCATTAAATTAAATTTTCACACTGAAATTTTCGTTATAATTGTCGTAATAGTGTTTTTGAAATATTTTTAACGAGGTGCTTTAACTTGTGTATATTTTGTAATTAAACTCCTTGATAAATTTGCAATTGATTTTATCGATAAAAGAGGATAATAAAATGTTTCATTTCAACATTAAAAATTAATAAGGTTTTGTACTTTTTAAACTCTTCTTAAAGAATAGCTTTTTAGATTGAATAAATAAACATCTGAATTTATAGACAAAGTATTATTGATCGTTTCTAAAATCTTTCGCTTTATTTTAACTCATAAAAATCGTCACTCTTTTTTTTCACTTGAAAAACCGTCACGTCTGATATTCTTTCAAATTTCTGTCAAGGAAAAATCCATTCTAAACTGGTCGCAGAATCTGTCCATCAAATGTAATCTGGTGATTCTGGGTCACACTAGGTGTCGAGAAGCTTACGTGAGGATATTAGTTGTTGACTACCGGCTCAAAATACCAGTGTTAGCAATTAACAGCATAATTATGAGCCACCGTTGCGGACATAAACGAACGCTTCTCTTCTATATACGTTACACAGTTGTTTAACGCTTTTCTCATTATCCGTACGTTGAAGAAGTTGACAACGAATTAACGAGCTGCTGCCTCTTTTGTTTCACTTAACCCATTTCTACTAAATTTCGAATTCTTCTCTTTCTCTCGGCGATAAAACCTCGTAACCTGTACCGAATATTTTTCAGTGCTTAATTAAAAAGTTTGCTTGTTATATGCGTTGGAAGAGAAGCAAAAAGAGGAGGAGGAGGAGGAAGTGTTGGTGGAGGAGGAGGAGGAGAAGAAGGAAAAGGTGGATTTTACCGACGTTTTCTCAAACATACGTTAACCAAATTTTTCCATCTGACGTCAAACTCGTCCATTAATTTTTAACACTTCGTTAAAAACTGCAGTGAATTTAGAATCTCCATTGAAGAGCATGAATTTACATAACGACGTAAACAGTGCGACAGAGTCTATCAATAAATCTTTCGACAGGATCATCATAGAACAATATAACAATGTCTGTGCCAAGCATTTTATTGATGATACGCTTACACTGTTATGTAAATTCGTGCGCGTGCTGACCTCAATGCTGATTTCTCAAATTCCCTCCTGTTTAACGAGGGTAAATTCATTCCGAATGCCGTCCGTCTCGAGAGATAAAGTTAGCGAAATCGGACTATCCGTCTTCTCAGAAAAAAGAACGGTGTGAAAAACGAGCCGAAAGCTTCTCGACGAGTAACGCGAGTAGCTTCGGTTACTCTGGCGACTCCGTTAGAAATAGCGAAATAGGAAACTGAGGGGAGGCGGTCCTTTTTCACCTTTACGCCAAACGAGGTAATGTTGGCGGTCACTGATCAGTCGTATACATATGTTTTCGCAGCTCCACGACTGGACCTGGAGAGTCTCGAGAGCGGATATCACGGCCTGGTCAAGGAGAATGAAACTTTGGTCGAGGTCACGCCGCAGATCCGCGCCCTGGGAACGAAAGTTTGCTCCTTCCGCATCGCAAACAAACATCACGGCGAGGCGCCGTTCGAGATTGTCCTGAAGGAGAAGGGGATGGCCGAGCTACGGGCGTTCCGAGTCCTGAATTGCGAAAAACGTCGTAATTACAAGTTCGACATCGCCGCGGTCGGCTGCAATGGAGTGCAATCGGAAAAGTACGTTCTTGTGTCTGGCATTTTACCCCCACGACGTGGGTACAACCCTCTCACTTTGCTAGAGCACACAGTCGTGTGAATTTTCATCCGCATTTGTTAAGTTTAGCGAGTACGTAACGCGTTACGCGCGTTCATTCGAGGAAATTCTCCTGCTCCTCGAGATAAAGTAAACTTGACGAAAGTAGAGCGGAATGGACGATACGGAAGAACTATACCTAAGTTTATAATTGCGAGAGTCAGCCTGCTTCAACACGCAATTGGTTTAACGTTGAAAAAAAGTTCCCTATCGTGTGATGCTCTCGGCACTCAGATAACAGCTAAGTAGAAATGTACACTTCCACCTCGTCAGACTTTTCTTCATACATCGTAGTTATCTTTTTCTGCTGCATACTTAGATAACTGGAAGCAAACTTTCGTTAAAAAAAATTTACATAACAAGAGCTACGAGATAATATAGAGTTTTCCTGTAGATATTATTAAAATACAGTTCAAAGTTTTATTTTCTAAAACATATCATATTGAATTTCGAGTTTATTTAATTAAAAAAAAATATATGTTTTATTACAGTTTAAAAATTAACTAAACACGTTGAATAACAAGTATACTTGTATGAAATTTATTATGTTTGTTATATTTATCATGTGGCAAAAAAAATATGACACGTTCGTTACAGTCAAGAAATTAAATATTTCATTCCATGATGTTTACATCTGTTACGTTCGTAATTTAAACTTTACGTGCCTCTAGTAACTATAAGCATAAATTGCTTTATCCTCGCACATTATCGTCGCAAACTATATCATTTACACGCGCCGATGTCTGAAAAGATAAAAGCAGGCTTATAATGTCATATCGGAAATGTATCGTCTTACTCTGTATTTATCAGTAGTTAAAGTCTATGATAAGTCACTTTGCGAATATGGGTCACCGAATAGCGTCGCGCCAGCACAACGCCAATTTTTTTGACTCACGGCGCGTTATAGTCACAGCATGTATCGGCTAAATGAGGAAATAACTCCCGGTCCAAGTGCACAAATTTTCTCATTACGAGAGTTGTGCGATTTCACGCCTGTCTGAAACGATAACTAGCGACTATTCCCTCGCGTCCGTTCGCGTTTGCTCCCGATCTTTCGCCTCGATAAATATTACACGTCCCTCGGAATGAAACTTTTACGCTCGCGATCGCGACAGCTAATAAAATGTATTGTAGACCCGAGGGAGGAGACAAGAGTTATAAAACTAGAATAGGTATACGAGATATCGAAACAGGCGATTTCGACTTTTGTTAGGAGAGCGCAAAAATTCATAATTATAATCGTACATATAATTTGTGTTTGTGTTGTGCGAATATAAAATTTTAATTGTGAATGTAAAAAGTAATTTATAAAATGTTTAATTTCACATGTCGAGAGTACAATGTCGGTAACAATTGAAGAGCTACTACAGTGGACTAACCCACATTTAAAAGCGGAGAATAAATGAATTTTTTCCATCACTTTAGAGTTTATTTTCTCTGTTTTTACAAAATGTTGGTTAGACTATTGTTGCAGTTGCTTTTCAATTAGATAACGATTACAGTAAATTTTGTTACATCCGAGTAAAATTAAGGTAAATAGGAAAGTAAAAATAATTTACTATGAAAAACTAGCGTAATGCTCGTTCCGTTTCTAAACCGTCTCGAAATCTGTCTCACCTCGCGGAATCGCTGCCAACGAATGTCAGATCAATAGTGAAACGTGTATATACTTGCACAACATATGATGCTTTTATATATAAAAGATTTCGGTGAATTTTTCATACGCAAAGCAAACGAGTGATGTTACGACGAAATTTTACTTCGGCTGTCGCGACGGCCGAATGAATTATGCTGATGTCGATCGATTGATATCGCGTGCCTCAACCGCCGATATTGCCCGTCGTAATTTCTAATTACGATATCGATGCATATCCGGTACGTTATTATGACATTAATATGGAAGAGTCGGGCCAGGCCAGGATATCGAGCGGAGTTGCCCCGATTATTTATTATTATTACACGACTTCGGCGCATTGATTTTGTCGTGTCTAAAATTTCAAACGTAAATAGATTCCGAGTGCGTAATTCGAACGGTTCGGTGTTTGAGCGCGTGTTTTCGGTAACGAAACAATTCCGAGTCGAAATTCAATCCTTTTCTCTCGCACGTATGGTCTCTGCGGTATCGCATTATTGACTTTTCCGTTGTACGCCGCGTATTAAATTTCCGATATTGCTCCGAGTGGACACTGCCATATAAATGTTTTACATTAAGTATATCGACAGTATTTGTTTGACTGTAATTCTTTTAAATCCCTTCCCAACGGGTACACGGGATAAATACATTCCTCTAGTATGACAGGAAATATTAAAAAGATATAGATGTTTCCTACTATAGCACTGCACCGCTTTGCGCTGTTTAAATTATCGCTAATTCGAAAAACTATTACAATTAAATTCATTACGGAGGTAAACGTATCTACGGGAGCGTGAAATAGTTAATTATCTTGATGCGAAAGTTATTAAAGTAACCTTTATGACTGGGGAAATAAGCTTTTTTAAATTCACTGTGGAGATTATAATGGAAATTCTTGGTTGTAATCCGTTCTGGTTGTAATCCGTTCTCGGAATAATCTTTCTGGTAGTTGGCAGTAAACATTTTTACCATTCCGTTACAATTCCGTGGCGCATTTGCGATTTTATTTTAATTCTACTTGAATCTTATTGAAAAATTGCACAGATTTTCGAGAAAATATATTAAAAGGAATTGCGAGTGCATAAATGGAGAGGTAGGAATTCGAAAGGCATTTTCTAGGCCTTTTATCAAGCGGCACATCGTTATCTGCGCTAGGAGAGTAAAGAGACCTTGAGATGCATGTGCACACTTGAATTTTATTTCAGCGCCACGGTTCATATTACTGTGGTTGACGTCAACGAGTACGCGCCGCAGTTTCTCCAGCCGGCCTATGTTAGTACTGTGGACGAGGGACGCCTCTACGAAGAAGTGGTCCGCGTTGAGGCGTCCGACCGTGACTGCACGCCGAAATTTGGCGATGTCTGCAAGTACGAGATCCTCACCGCCGATCAGCCGTTCATTATCGACAACGAGGGTGCCATCCGCAATACCGAGCCTTTGGACTACGAACGCTCACACAACTACATACTGAGCGTGGTCGCTTACGACTGCGGTATGAAGCAGTCGGCGCCGGCGATGGTGACGGTCAAGGTGAACCGCGTGTGTGCTCCCGGATGGCGAGGAATCCCTGAGAGGGTAGATTACGCTGCTGGTGTCGGTTCGCAGCCTTTACTGCCCTCGGCGCGGCTTGATCTTTGTGATGCACCCTGCATCCTGCGCAACGTGCGCGCCACTCTGACTTTGGCCACCGATCATATCGGCAAGGGTTGCGATCGTGACACCTATGGAGTTCGCAGCCAGCGGAAACTATGCGGTGCCTCGCGCGACAGCGTGGATCTATTGCCCACACCTGGACCCACAACCTCCTGGACTGCCAGGCGTAGACTCAGCCGCGATCGTGCCGAACGATGTGCTGGAGCATAGCCTGGCGCAGAAGTTTACCATCGGTGTCTGGGTCAAACACCGACCACGCCCGCGACAGGATCCACATGTCAAGGAACACATCTTGTGTGCTGCCGATGATCATAGTAAGTTTCAATGTAACGAATGCTAAGATTTACTTTTTGATAGCATTTTGACAATATTTTTAATATTTACAACTACCTGAGAATTAATTATTTTTCAAACATTATTTTACCAAATAGTTTTGTGTGTTCGTTTAATATTTTGTTTTTATTTTGCTTGTCAAGATAAGCGTCTTCTGCTTATAAACAGAAAATGCTCAGCGATAAGAACAACAGAAGCTTGTTGATGAAAATAATTGTACAAAGAATTTTCTTGATATTGAATTTTCACTGATGCCTTTGAAAAATCATAAAGATTAACGGTATAATCATATTTCACGTTTATCATGCTCATGATTATCCTGATTGACTTTATAACAGGAAAACAAGGAAATAGGCTATAAACTTTTTATGTAAAAGCAACAGAAACTTGTTGATGATGAAGAAAATAATTGTTCAAGAATTTTCTTGATATTGAACTTCACTGACGCCTTCAAAAGTCAAAGACTTTAGACTAACACTATAGCATCATGTTCATCACGTTTATGATTATCCTGATTGGCTTTATGAGAAGAAAGCAAGGAAATAGGCTATAAACTTTATAATTTTCACGTAAGAGCAACTAGTTGATGACAAAGAAGATAATTGTAAAATGATAAACAAAGATTTTCTTCGATATTGAACTTTCATTCTCGCTTTAGAAAATCATAAAGATTAATAGCATGTCCTTATACAATTATTGCGTTTATAGTTATCCTGATTGGTTTTTAAACAGAAAAAAACAATGAAATGGGCTATAAACTTTATAATTTTCGTTCCCTTTATGTCTAAAGAAGAGAAAATAATTATTTAAAACTGCTGATAAGCTCGCCGGTCGTTCCAATGTCGAGCGATGCTCATCGATGTAGCCGCTGTTAGCAGAATACATTACGCGCTGCCGGGAGTGCGCGCGCTCATGCGTTAAAATATACACGTTCACTCCGCGGAAACGCTGGGGTATTATCGTGAAGTTTCGAACAAAGCGGCTTAATCCTTGCGCGGAATGAATTTTGGCAAGAAATCAGGTCGAGCGCGCTTATATAGGTCGTCTCTCGCGCTCGTACGCTCGCTCGCCTTCGCGAAGAGTTCAACTCAAATATCCTACCTATCTACCCGGTCTGAAATACAAATCTTTCTAAATACCAACCGGTCTCCATGGGCGACGTGTAATCCTCGGTTATAAACGTTCTCTCTCCCTCGTCTTTCTCCTCCCGCTTTACCCCTTTCACGTTAAATCTCTCTTCTACCCTTAATGCCGTCGCGCGTTTCTACACTTTATTACGCGCGGCGGCGTCACGAAAGGTGCAACTAACGCCGCGCCGTTTCAATTACAGAGATGAATAGGCACCATTACGCCCTGTTCATAAGGAACTGCAGATTGATTTTGCTGCTGCGACGCGACTTCTCCGAGGGTGATCCCAACATCTTCCGTGCTGCCGAATGGCGTTGGAAGCTTGGTCAGGTATGCGACGATAAATGGCATCATTACGCGATCCAGGTAGACTTCCCACGTGTCAATCTATATGTGGATGGCGAAGAATGGCATGCTGACGAGAAGAACCCCGAAGTCATCGATGACTGGCCTTTACATCCGGCTAAAGGCGTCAATACCACCCTTGTGGTCGGAGCATGCTGGCAGGGCTCCGAGAACAAGACCAAACACCATTTCCGTGGTTACCTCGCCGGTCTGTCCGTTTTAGTTGGCCGAAACGAGAAACCGGAAGTACTCTCGTGTTTGCGGCGTTGTCAGGAAGGCATTCACGTGCCACCAATGGACTTGTTGCAACCGGGTACTCAGCTGCTGACCAATTCCGATATGACCGAAGTGCGTATCGATGGTGACAATCGTACAAATGTGGAAACCTTACTGCGTCGTATTGGCTACTCCAACACTCGACGTTTCCCGACGCCCGGCCGTCGTAATTTCCGTCTTGACACAACGATCGTTTGTGAGGGTAGCGAGAACACGCCCTTACCGGTACCGACTGTGCAGTCCTACGTCACCGTACTACCGCCTCCTCGACCAGGCATCACCGTCAACGGTACCGGTTACGTGGCCCGAGAATACGCTGATTTCCGATTGGGAGTACGTGTGTTCCCCGACGCGCGCGTCACCGCCGGATCGGCCGCCCGATTGGATGCTTGCGCTGTCAGTGTTTATCCAAGTCTCAATCCAGATCATGAGAGCTTGGGATTACCTGGTGACGCTCTGCTCGCATTCCACGATATCTCCGCTCGCGTCGATCGAGATGGCGTCGTTCTCTCTGGCGCGGATTCGCCTTACAACTACCAACAACTCATTCGTCTTATCATGTACACGAACCGTAAACCGGCTTACTATCTCGATCGCGTCTTTAAACTTACCTGTTCCGAGTTGAGCGGCCGCTTCGCCAGTAATGAGTACGTGCAAACGTTGGCCGTAATTCATCCTAAGGAAAAGACGACCGTTTTGCCGCATACGACGCCCGGAGAACCGCCCATTGCCAGAATCGTTGAACCGGCACCAGGTCACGCACAGCTCTCGCCGCATCATGCTGATCTAACAGAGGAGTATGCTACGGCTGCGCTTCGTGAAGGTAGCAGAACCATCAGTGGCACTGGCAGCAGCCATGCCGTGACTATCGTCGCCGCCGCTTGCATTGGATTCCTGCTATTGATGGCGGTTGTGGGCGCTGCGCGAGTCCGCGGGGCGGCCAAACGACGACGATCTGCCGGTGACGAGCTCGCCGCAGAGACGGAGATGGCCTGGGACGACTCGGCCCTCGCTATTACCGTGAATCCGATGGACAGGTTGACGGAACACGACCAGCATCATCAGAGCCAGCGGGACGAGGACGTGGACGACTCCGGTAGCTCCGATTCCGAGGATGGCTCGTTCCGAGATGATGACCTCGACAGCTCCGACTGTGAGAACGATTGCGATCTCAGCAACGGTCGGCACCGCCGTCACAACTCGCCGCACGATCTGGAATGGGATCATCGTGATGTTTAAATCACCCTACTATCTTTACACTGAGCATTCTCACACATCCCCCTTTCTTCGCGTGACACTGAGAGGAGTACTGGCCGCGTGCCACTTTCTGTAAAATTTCTCCATTATATATCGTTTCTTCTCGCCGTACGCACCCCGTCTGATGTTTATCGAACACATTTCGAAAATATCTCATGATGAAGATTTCTTGCGTAGCTATCGGCGGCTTCGCGAATTTAATCTGCGAGAGTAAAGAGTTTCGGATTATCGTATACGGATCTTTCGTCGAACGCGATTTGCGTCCAAAAGATCGGTTTCTCGAAGTTCTCTTCTTGTGCATCAAATATCACGAAAGCGTCGTTAAGGGATTAGAATATTTATTACGCTTTCGAATTTCCAGAATATAGAGTAATAAGATTTAACGTTCTAAGCCGCTCCATACACTGCTCGATCGATTCTATAAACGATTATTAACCCTCTTTACTACGCGAGAGCGTTATCGTATTATCCGTCCCCACCCGTTCACTTTTTCTCGTAGATGACGTTGGTATAATCGATGAAGTAACGAGATATAAAACGGCATTCAGTTAGTACTCGTCTTAAGCGTCAAGAAAAAAACTTGTAAGAGTGCGGGACGCTTTATTGAATATAGTTAAAACTCTTTCTACCTACGAACACACGTCGCTGATGTTGGTAGAATCGGAGATACACGCAAGAGATACTTAAAATGTCGCAAAAATATTCTCAACGGGAATATTTATGGCAATTATTTATATTCTTGACTCTCATCATTGGTAGTAGTAGGACAAGGGAACTCTTTTTTTTTTATACTTCTAACTATCTTTCCTTCTTTTTAATACGATTATCGCTATTTTATCATTACTAATCGCTGCGACTATATCTAGCCATTTTATCGAAAGTTGTTTTTATTATTATTATTATGTTTATTATTACTGTAGGCAGGACGGCCCGGTAGCGTAGTTTTAAATGCGAAACAGAGTGCTGAGCCGACTCTATATTCTTCCTCGTCTTCTCGACTAAACTTTCTTATCTAAGGTCCATTTGATCTCATGAATGTAATTCTCTCGCAATAATCGTGTCTTTCGTATTTTGATCAAAAGCGCTCGTGATACGAGCTGACGTTAATTAATAAACCGGCAGCGAAACGCGCGTAGATACGAAAATAAGCTGCAAGCCAATCGCTTCGGTGTAGCACGTGAATCGGGTTGAGCCTGGGCCATACGATGCTTGCCCAATTTTGCACTTTTATTTTTTAAATATCGTTACGCCTTCGATCGTTTTTCTTTTGCACGATGTTCCTTCCTGATCGGTCTGCAGAAGATGAGTAAGGACATTGCCACGCATCTTATGCTAGTGCTTCAACATTTAAGATAATCGGTATAGCATCATATCCATATATGATGCGTAAGCGTGTCACATACAAAAACGGCGTGTTTAAAAACGACGGTTTCGCCAGTCATTTAATCCATCAACGTTTGGAGAACATGAAATATTCGGCAAGGGGAACAATCCGCACGCGAGCAGACGCTTCATGCGTTATGTAATTTCCTCTGGTATAAATATTCATTTTTAATTAATTAAAATTATCTGACACGTGAAGGATCGACTTAAGGGTGGATTATTCACTCTTCGTCTGAGGTTGTTTCAGTTTGTCTATAAGCGTTTGACGAATTAACGGCAGTTAATCGTACGTAGTTTATGTGCGCGCGTCATGCACGTACTCTACATTATATATATCTATATATATATATATCAGCATCCATTCATTATTCCGTGGCGAGAGTCTCGTCTCGAGTAGTAGACGATTATTCTAAAGTAATGCGCAGCGGCTGGAGAAGCCATCGAGCGTGCTTCTCCCGTTAATCTCCCCGACCTAAGACGTGTCGTATCGTGCAATCGCTCTTTTCACAGAGAGAAAACTGATGCTTTTACGTGCCTTTTAAGCAAGTGTAGTACATTGAATTCGTATTGTCTTTAACAGCGAATTTCAAACGCTGCGTTTACCTCTTTCCGTTTTCTCTTTTCTTCGCAGTATCCCGTCACCATAGACGGGTGTCAGCCCTGTATTGTTGTTAAGAACTTCTCGCGATATCGTAGCTCAGGTGCATAGTGAGCTTGCCATGCAATCGCTACGGCTCGACGCAGGTTTAGCTCTTTTATCGCTACCTAAAAGCGCGTTATAGTGAAAAGTTCCGATTGTATTTTAGACGTTTACGGTTTAGAAGTTAAGGACGCGCGTTCACTGGGCGTCGTTCCCGGGCGACGTTCCGTTCGTCCGATGGGCTGTCAAAGCATAATACCTGTCGATGGTCCCGTGTCGGAAAACGCGTCATACACGTGCAATGATCCCGTGGTGGGGTACATTAAACTCTCTTTCTCTCTCTCTCTCTCTCTCTCTCTCTCTCTCTCTCTCTCTCTCTCTCTTTCGTCGGAATGGTGACACGACGGCTGCGCATCCGTTATCGTCGCGAAATAATGAACGGATTCTTGTGTATGTGTGTGTCTCTATGTTGACATAAATGTAGAATTATACCGAATTGTTCGAATGCGGAGGCACCAGTACCGAAGAACTCGCGTACGGATATATCTATATTCATATAGGGAACTATAATGAACACACAATTTATTTTTCCAACGAGCATATCATATCATTTTTATAAGGGATTTGTCGGAAACGTTTTTTGGGAAGCTTTGCTTCGCCAACGAGCGGTCGCGAAACGTCGCGACTTCGTAAGGATTTCTTTCTCGTTCTTGGGAGATAGGTTTCTTTTTCCCCATCTCTCTCTCTCTCTCTCTCTCTCTCTCTCTCAATCTCTCTCCGTTTCCGGGGAGGGTTAACAATATGCACCCTCTCTTACGCATTTCTCCGACTCGCGCGAAAGCAGATATTTCAATCGAAAATTCGGATTGCTCTAAACGAGAAAGCGGAGCTCGACTGAAAGAACCACCGGAAAGAACAAAAAAGACAAATAGAGGCGTGCATAATCGTTTATCTGTTCCTGATAACACCAGATCGCATATATACACTTATATACACGAAATACCGATGTGTACGCTTGCTTTTTGTACTGTCTTTCCTTTCCTAGTGTTTTCTCCTAACGCGATTTTATTACACTGCAACGCGAATTTTATCATAAACGTAATCTCGTATTTTATAAAGATCGTATAGCAACACAGTGAGAAGGTAATCAATAAAAAAAAAAAAATCAGCCGAGGCACTCCGAATCTCCACAATGGAGGTTCTCGCAGGATTGAAATCAAGAAGGGATCTGGCCTTGATGAGTGTGTCTAAATTAGCTTACGTAAATGTGTACACATGCGTTTATATATGCTTAATCCTCAAGCATAAGTGCACAGTGAATTATACAGTTTGGGAGATGTATTTGGGATTCCTATTTCATTTGACTGTCGTACAAGCGACATCATAAATAAGCGACAGGCGCATTCTTCTATCAGGTTCATCATGCGATGTCGATGTAACAAAGTCAGAAGAACGCGTGAAAATTGCGGTGGGAAAAAGGTATCTCGTAGAAAGTAATTTTGTCCGATGACCGTACACGCATAGGGCATCCCTTTATTTACGCGATAAAGTTCCTCGTTGGTTTTATTGCTTCTCTCCTATTCTTCCTCTTCGCTTGGAAGATTCGCCAGTCATTTCTTTTTCTTTCTGAAAAAAGAATATATATATATATATATTTGCTCATGTAAAAAACAGAGGAGTTAGGAAATAATGGGTTACTTGTAATGTCGTTATCCTTAAAATTACTTTTTTCAGTAATAAATGAGCTCTCTTTAAAATTTTTAGAGTGAATGTCATTCTGAAGAATGAAATCTCATTCTTAAAGATTAAAAATTGGATCATTCTTTTTCAAGACTGGCTCAATTTTTACTCTTTATAGCGAGATTCTACTCCAAAGAATTTAGAGAGTAACGTTTCCTTATTTGTAACATTAATGGTAACGCAGTTACTTTTTTTGAATAATGAATATAATCATTACTTTTATCATTACTTTGTAAACGTACAATGGAACGTATAAGTGTGTTTCGAAGAAAGAAAGTGTTTTGAATATGTTGTGATTAATCACAATCACAGTCACTGTAGATCTTATATTGAACTCGATTATTAATGACCAAGACAATTGGATGCAACTCAAGAAAGGAAACAAAAAAATTCACTAAAAAAGTAATAATGGAAATTATAATGGCTTACTTTTTCAGAAAAAAAGAACGGTAACGAGTTACTTTTATAACTTTTTCCAACCCTGGGAAAATTGAAAAATAACTTTAATCGTGATACATAAATGGGTCAAAATCAACAACAAGCAACACGTGGCTTAAGTTACGTCAAGCTTGAGCTGCCTTGTATGTACATGATTTATATTACGCAAGAAAAAATATATGTAGAGTGATAAGACGATCTTTAATTCGAACGCGATGAAATAAGGGATGCCCATGCGCTTTGCGAACAAGTCTTTCGTTATTTAGCGAGGTATCGGGAGGTCAAAAGTCTCTTTCGACCGAGAAATCAGGAAATCAATGAAATAAGAAGTGATTCGCAACACACGTGAACCTAATCGGTTGCGCGCATCCGCTCTAAAGATGTGTACTTAATCATTTAATTAATGGGAAATGTGAAGGAACGCAGAGAACAAAACCAACTAGATGATACTATTATATAATATATACATAAAAAAATATATCTAAGCTGTTTGCAAATGATGACGATGTAAAGGGGTAAAAGAGGGAAGAGTAAAAGGAAATGAGGGGAAAAAAAAAAAAGAATTTGTAATGTACCATTGTATTTTGTAGGCAGCTAGAGCGTGTACGTATACATATGCACAGATACCCCGTGTATGTATGTATGTATGTTTACGTATATAAATATACATACTCTTCCCCCGTCTTCATCTCACTTATACACACATACGCATACACATACGTGCCGTTCGCCTGAAACGGCCAGAGGAAATATTTTGGATCTTAAGGGAAGAACGAGAGAGTTCGGAAAAATCGGAGGCTGTAACACGTCAAATCTTATCTTCCGAATTTCCGAGAGGAGGACTTCCTCTCGTCTATCACGACAAGGCGAGGGGCATTCTCTTCAGCGCATATTACACGCCCGCCGCCACCGATGCGTATCGACTTTTGCAGACACACATACATCACACATTCCACGTACACACTGGCACCTATCCTGGTGCGACAGCAGTGAAAAACGTGCATGTATAAACGCGCGATCACGCGCGCGTGTAAATCGAGAAATTATAACGCTTCGCGGAGCGAACGCTCGTGCCATTCGTCCCGTTTATAGTTTGCCGTTTCCTTCCGTAACGTCGAATGAGAAATATAAAAGAGGCAGACGTTAGTCTTGCCGCAGGATTCGGCAATGCGGCAAATTTTTTTCCCACGTAATCTGATGGAGCTTTTCGCTTGTGTTTGCGCGAGAGCTTTTTGAGAGCGCTCGGATTATTGACGTGTGCTGATAGTTTCCGATAGAACGAATCCAAATTGAGTGTAGGAAGTTCATTAATTTGAAATTGCTGTGTATATTTCGATTGATTCATTTTTTTGTTCTAAATTTTTTTCTGCCCGGGGATATTGGAATCGAATAAAGCTAAAAAGTGCATCCAAGCTATAAGAAACATGTAGAGCATGTATAAATATATTACATATTTCTCATAAGATATCGAGCGATCACTCCAGGATCTCGTTGTTATTTCTCGTTATATGCGATACTCTCTTAAAAAAGAAAAAAAAAGAGAAAAAAAAGAAAAAGGAAAGAAAAGTACTTGAAGAAGTAGCGCGTAATAAATGATATGATCGGATGTTAACAATAAAAGATAAATTGCGCGATGACGGTAATGTAATGAGTGAAATAATCAATTACTGATTAGCTAGGCCGTAATGCGGAATATCGTTGCGTGCCGACTAAATTCCCTCCTTCATCGCAGATTGATTGTGTGTTAACTAATAAGATTAAGTAACAGTATAGTATATTACAGTTAAGGAATTTAATTATTATGAATAAATAAATAATTAAAAGAAAAAAAATATTATCTGTACGCTAAGCACACACACGTTTCGAGCCGTAACGTGACGTATGGCTAAGGCAATGTTTATGACTTTACAAGTCTTTAATTTTAACGTGACACACTGAGTTACTCGGCGCGTCTGCACCGCGACGCACAGAAACAGTCAAATTATCTTGTTAACTCTGCAAACTGAAAGATCGTTCAAGACAAAAATGAGAAGTATATTATATAGCAATAGTATATTAACTATACACACAAGTACACGACACAGGATCACGCGCGGCCGCATATACACGCTGCACAGGCTAGGAAAAATGAAATACTATCTATAACGACATTATAAATAACATTAAGACGTCAACTGTATTTGTTTAATAAAGATGTACATTCGACATGTGCGAATTGACCATTGCGTAGCCGGCAGGTCAAAGTAATTGATAAATTTTCAACTGATTTGATGAAGACTCCAGAAAAAAATAAACTATATCTCTCGAGTATAGATTACCGCGTACGCGATATATGATTTTTAAATGACCTGTCGGTTAAAAATGGACATTGGATTATTTCCATTTTTTTCCTACATCGCCCTTTCACATTTGTCCTAGAAAATGTATGTCCTATTTCTGTAAATCTTATGCTAAACGAGTGTTTGAGAAATGAAACGAGATATTTATAAATATCAAAGTTTTTATTGATGTATATGTATATTAAATAAAAATTATTTGCACATATACAGCGTGAATAACAGAACTATACAAATATTATATTGCCACGATTTAAATTAAACAAATAGAAACTGAATTTTTTCAATAATTATTTACAAATATATTGCAGTTGTACTACTGAAACCAAATTGCATGCTACTTTGATTAGGCTACCAGATGTTCACTAAAGTTTCTAATAATTTTACATTTTTGCATTAAAAAATACTTCGAATCAGTATATATTTTTAATTCGATTACAAGAAAATTTAGTTTTCAAGGTATACAGGTATTTATAAATTATATTATTTGTGGAGATTATAACTTCTCATGCATATATTAATAACATAAAATTATCTCTTGTATATCATAATGCAAAATACTACAATAACTTTAACCAGTCCCATTGAGATGCAACAACTGCAGCTACCATTTTGGCTTGATGTATGTTATTACATCACTTATATATAATCATAATAAAATGCAGAAAAGTTATAAAATCTGATTTTCAAGGATATAAAATACCTGTTGTTAAGTCTTTTACATCTTACTTCATAATATGAAAAATGAAAAAGTAATAGTTGATTTAAATTCACTTGTTTTCAATTTCATAAATATTGAAATGATGTAACAAAAAAATGTTTCTGACGATGTCGAACTGAAAATTGAACTTTCAAATTGAATTTTGAGAAATGTTACTACAGGTATATTTCTCGTCAAGTACTTATATTTGATGCCATACGTTATGTTTTTTTACCGCATATATTTCCATTTTTCTTTTAATTCTAAAAATTTCCATTTTAATTTATTCAAAAGAAAATATTTATGCTTTCATTTTTGACGATTTCTATTACAAATTTATTAAGTTTTACGTATCAATTTGTGTCATCGCTTTGAATATTTATAGCAGAATCCCTTCATCTCAGTATCAGCAAACAATGATGGTTGCTTCGCCATTATTAGGAGAAAATAATTTTATATTCTCCGCATTCCAATGTAATAACGCTCCTTGACAAACGACACTCCATACATAAGGAATGAAAAATTCCTCCGGTTGTTCTTCTTCTACGTATTTGAACTTCAATTCTGGGAATTTCTACAAACAACAGTATATACATAATTAAAATTCTAATAAGTATAAACAGATCGTAATGATTTGTAACAATTCCTACGTACTCTTAAACG